GCGCCGTGCAGGCGATTCCGGGGCTGGGGGGTGGGGGTGGTTCCTGCACCTTAGGGACCCCTGCCCTCCCGCTGCCTGGTACCTTCCCCGCCTGCAGCAGCATGACCTACCCCTGAGGTCCCCCTGAGCGACGTGATGGAGTGCGTCTCGCCCCGGACGGGAAGGGGCTCACCCATCCACGCGGCACTCGCCCTGCCACTCTGTGCCCGGCGGACGCGTGACGAAACTCCCCGCGGTGAGGCCACCCAAAATGGCTGCCGCGGGGACAGGCCACCGCGCTACGGGCTCGAGGGGTTGCCTGGTGACCGGGTGTTACCGACCCCCGTGCCCCCACATTCCTAGCCCTTGGCCTCTCCTCCTGGCGCACAGCTGGGCTCCGGGGTCAGAGAGGAGACCACCTGGCCTCTGCCCTGGAACCCGCAATCTTTCAGGAAAGAGGTGAGAGTGGTCCTGGACCGACCTTGCATCTCTCCATGCTCTCTTGATCTTTCCCACGTGTCACAGGTTTCTAACCTTCCCAGAATGACAACTATGGCATCCACTAAGTGTATGTAGGTGACTTGGGTCCATTGACTTTTACATTCTTCCAATCCTGTGAGGTTGTGGGTTTTGCTTTTATAATCTCAATACAAAAGCTGGTGGTACTCAGAGAGGTTGAGTAACATGCACAAGGTCACACAGTTGGCTGCCTGTAACGCAAGGCCAAGTCTCAGCTTAAATGTTATTTGCTCAAAGATGCTTTTCCTTGACTGTGTTGTCTAAAACTGAGCCCTCAGGCAGGCGTTTTCTGTTAGGCTACCCCTGTGTTCTTTTCTTAAATAGCAACTGTCATCAGTTGAAATTAACTGTGTTTCCTTGCTGTTTTTTTTTCTCATCTTGTGACCAGGGCCTATTTTTGTCTTGCTCACCTATCCCTCCCTGTATCCAGTAGACCCTCAATGAATATTTGTTGAGTACCTGAATGAAAATGCCTACTTCTGAGTGACTTCAGAGCTCAGGCACTTAACCACTTCATGGACAACTGCCTTCTGAACACCCGCTGCATTTTGTTCGTACTTTTCTCAAACTCATAATCCCTTCTTTTGCCTTGCCCTCTAGAGTTTGACTTGGGCACCTCTTGATTTTCTCTTCTATTGTCCATCCCCAGTTTCCAGGCGTTGTAATAGGTGGGAACCGGGTATGTAAGTAAATAAGGAGGCTTTGCGGCTCTTATGGTGCTGGACCCAGACTTGACATGTAAGATGTATAAGAAGAGAAGGGGAGGATGAGTGGAGGCTCTACCAAGAAGTTCTGGGACCTAAGTAAGTCCTTTCTCCCTTTAGGACTGTAGGTATCTAGCTTGCAAAACAACAATTTGGAAGGAAAGATCTATCTGTTCCTCTCTAGTCTAGGCCTATGTATCGTCGCTCCAGGTATGCGTTTTCGGTGTTTTAAGCCCATGGGCCTTCAGGACAAGAGGCCATATCTGTGGTTGTAGTTGTCAGAGAGGAACCCGTATAGCAAAGGCTGGCTGAACTTCAGGGTCAGTCAGATGTAGAATGCTCTTAATACTCTGTAGAAGTTTTATGAATTCTCATGTGGATGGGTAGAGCGGGGTGCCACCTGGGAGGAAGCATCCATCCCCCACTCCTTCTTTACTTCCTGGGGAGAAAGCTTAGAGGCTATCCAGAGCAGCAGTGACCCTAAGAGCCTGTCCATCATCCAAACTTTTTGCTGTCCAGTACCTTAGAATAAAATATGGCATCTACACCTGTCCTACTGTGCAAGCAATGGTCAGATGTATTTAATTGGAGTATAGTCATGGGTGGAACCCACCTTTTATATGAGGTTAAAGGTAAGAAATCAGTATCAATAAGTCAGAAAAAGGCTGACTTAGCTACCATGTGAAAAGTTGTTAAGTTAGAATAAGTATCAGACCTATGCGTAAATATACAAAGTTCAAAGTTGCCAAGTTTTAGTTAGCTATTACTTTGTCCCATGTTTTCAGAGACATTATATGTAACCTGATTTGACTCTTTCAAGTGGGTAGTAAAATAAATACTCAACTGAATGCATCCAAAATATTACAGTTTGGTAGTATTTTAACATTTTTAGAGGCTGATGCCACCATCTCAAGTAAAAACCAATAGAATTTTTTTTAAAATGGTTGAGAACTTCACCCATCCTAACTAAGTGATTAAGAAACCCACGCCCAAAGTGGATCTTAAGGCCTGGAATACGGCTGATGATTGCACTGTCCCTGGGATGTTCTCAAGTTAATCCAAGAGTGGATCTGCATTGTGGGGTGGGAGACAGGGTGAGGAGGAAGCCGGCAGGGAGACAGGTAGAAGGCAATAATTCTCCATGTTTTCTTGATTCTAGAAAAGCCCTCGGGAGTAGAGGAGAGTGTGCAACAGAAAGCCACTGATGAGTGGAAATTCACTTTGAAGGAGTCTTGTTCTTTACCCAGGATTCAGCCTTCTGGTCTATAATTTGATCTCCTGTGTGGCCACACCCATGAGAAAGGAATGGTGTGTGTGGACAACCAGCCCAAAGCCAAACAAATTAGTAAATGGGCTTTTTAGGCTCCTCTGGTTAGGGTGATTACCCTTGGCAGCCACATCACCCCTGGCCTCCCAGGGGTCAGAAGCGTGACAGAAAGACAGACAAGCAGCACTTCTGGGCTCTGCTATCTTGGGGGTGATGCTTGATTTTTCTGAGCAGCTCGACAAATAAGCGGCATTTTCTTAGAGGACTGAAATAAGGATTTCACATCTCATAATGCCTTAAAAGCCTAGTGTCTGGCACATAACGGGTGCTCAGTCCTGTCCCCCAGACAGTGACTTTGGTGGCTGTTTTGCACCTGCCCAGCCCCAAGTAAGCAGACCAGGGTGACCCAGCTTTCTTACCTCTTTCAAGCCTTTTTTAGAGTTGTGTTAGTCACCAGCAAGTTTCCAGTTTAATAATGTAATTTCCATTGTTAATTTTTAGCCAGGTTTAAAGGTCTTTGTTAGTAAGTTCCTGATGAAAAACACATTCTCTGCTAACTTGTTAACTGCAGAAATTTGGAAGAAAATTTTTTTGCCAATTTAAGTATTTTCTTGGCATGTAGCTGAAGGTCGGAAAATAAAGTTTATCTTAGAGAAAAGTGATTTTTGTTGGACATTTCTGATATCTTCTTCAGGCACCCAAGCTCCAGTCCTTTGCTCCCACAACCCCATCACCACCACCCCCACCAGCAGCGAATGCATGTATGGGCAGGACTTCAGCCAGTAAAGACAGAGCTCCCACTCCTGGGAGACTGGTTTGTTAGACATGTGCCCTGCCTTTGTTTAGCATTTGACAGTTAATAAAGGTTTAAACGCCGTCTGGTACACCTCAGCTTACTAATCCTACCAACTCTGTGAGCCGACTCTTTCCTCCATCTTGTAGATAAAAATACTGAGGCTCAGAGATAGGAAATGACTCAGCCGGTGACATGGCTCAAAAGGAAGTGACAGATCAGGACTCCAGTCCACACTGCGCTTGGTCCAGTCCAGTTCTGATTCCAAAGGTTGTCCGGGTAAGGTGCTCAGAGGACCAGGCCACAGGGCAGGGAGCTAGCCTCAGCAGGAACCTGCCAGAAAGAACAGGCCAAGCCACCAGCCGGGAAGTCATCTAAATGTCCTCACTAGTCCTGCAAGAGGCTCAGGGTCTTCCCTCAACCGGTAGGGCATTGGGTCATTTTTTGTGTATTATTTTTATGTTCTTTCCAGCATAATTTCCCCAAATTTACTTAATCAGAGGATACCGCCGGTGTACTTCTTAAAAATCTGACTCCTGAGCCTCACCACAGCTCTACTGAATCAGACTCTCCAGGGAAATACTTCCCTGGCCACAACTGCTTCCCCAGCGAGCCGGGTTCTGGAGCCAGACAACTTGGGTTCACACACTGGCACCCTTCCTCACTTGAGCAAGTTCGCTACCCACCCCTGGAAACTGAACTGTTGTGAGGGTTGGATGAGATGATAATACAAGGAAAGCTCTAGTATGGTTATTAAATTAGTGGTTATTATGAAGTAGTATCCTGATTTTGTTGGTAAAGATCCAGGAACTTGGAGCAGTGGGCTCATGCGTGTGAGGCTACGGCTTCATCGCTGGAGCTGGGATGTGAGCTCAGGCCTGCTATCTCCACAGACGCAGTCGCCTGACCAGTACACACTGCTTCCCGCCTTCCCTCCGCCCAGAGATCCCCAGTTACAGTCCAGCTTGGAGCCAGGAACGCAAGCTCAGCTCACGAGCTCGTTCAGTGAACTTATCTGGAAACAAAACTGATCACCATTGCCTTGCTGGTGCAGACTTCACCAGCCATGAGGCTTATGTGCGGTGGGAGTGGGGCCTGGGCCTAGGAGCGAGCGGGTGGTCCTCACCCTTGCAGAGCTGTGTGCTGTGTGCTGACGGTGTGACATCTAACCGACCAGGGAGGCAGAAATGCCCTCCCAGAACTGTTCATGAAGATGGTGATGTAGTTTAAATAATGCCTTGGGGAAAGATGGAGTTCATTAACATTGCCAGCTGGCCTATAATAGGTCATGCCTTATAAGTGGAAGGTATTTGTCATGGCACTCATTTGGGCTTTAAAAGTTTATTAACTTGGGGCGCCTGGGTGGCTCAGTGGGTTAAAGCCTCTGCCTTCAGCTCAGGTCACGGTCCCAGGGTCCTGGGATCGAGCCCCACATCGGGCTCTCTGCTCGGCGGGGAGCCTGCTTCCTCCTCTCTCTCTGCCTGCCTCTCTGCCTACTTGTGATCTGTCTGTCAAATAAATAAATAAAATCCTTTAAAAAAAAAAAGTTTATTAACTTGGAGTACATGGTGGTGCAGTTGGTTGAGAGGCCAACCGTGGTTTCAACTCAGGTCATGATCTCCGGCTTCTGATAACTAAGTGATGTCAGTCAACCACAGAAAACTTTTTAAAAGCTCACTGTTTTTTTTTTTTCTCCTACAAAGAATATTTTAATACCTTTAAAATACAATTTTTTCTTTAAAATTACTCATGGAAAAGATTCTTAAGTCCGGATTTACAGCTCAACTGGTGAAACTTCAGGAGGCTCCTTACAGCTATATAAGTATACAAGGAGGTCCCCTTCAACAGCCGTCTCCCTGTCAGGTCTCTGTTCTGGACTCTTTTAACAGCCTCTGTCTCCCTCAGCTCCCTTATTCCACCCGTTCAGGTCGTGAAAGCTGAATCTGTTGAACGTCAGACACGTGCCAAGATGATGCGGTGTAAACCATCACATTTGGCTGTTGACCGTCTGCAGTTATCAAACCCGCTGGTAACTGGCTCGTAAGTTCCTGCTGGGCAAGTTCTTCACTGAGTGCCCCCACCCCCGTGGCTGTGACGTTCTGCCCCTCCTGTCTCTCTCCGTGGCCTCTCCGAATTCCTGAAGACCGTTCCGCAGTTGCACACAACTGTCGAAGCCTCAGGTAGACACACAAAGGGAGCAGCCTCCCCACTGGTGTCTTCTGATTCTCAACGTGGCATCTTTCACTTGCTTCTGGTGTGATAAAGCCAGTCAACTCACACATTCTTGAGCACATTCCTTGGTGTCCTGTGCAGTCTGTCCCCTTAAGGTATGACATTTTCCCTTACCCGTGCTACTGCTGCAATCCAAAGGGATCTATGTTCTTCTCTGAGACTTTTTGTTTGTTTGAAGGGGGGGTGGGAAAGAGACCATGAGCGACGGGAGGGGCAGAGGGAGGGGGAGAGAGAGAATCTTAAGCAGACTCCACGCCCAGCACGGAGCCCAACACAGGGGCTCCATCTCACCACCCTGAGATCATGACCTGAGCCAAAATTAACCGACTGAGCCACCCAGGCACCCCTCTCTGAAACCTTCTTTTGAGCCATACTAGTTCTTGCTCATTCCTGCTGTCCCCGATATCATCATAAAGTTGTACAACATAATGACTTCATCAGTGTTCTCTGCAGAAATTCCTAGTTGCTGAGTACCTGTTATAAAGCGCCAGAACCATATGCTCAGCTGAGTTTGAGAACAGCTCCCCACAAAGGTGTCTGATCTTTGACCAGGTTCACCCTGGGTGTGGCGGGTGAAGGAGCAAAGCCCAGGAACCGTGAACCTCCAGATGGCGGTGCCCGGCTGAACCAGACTGCAAGGAAACCAAACTGGTTCCTTTCTGTCCCACCCCTGGGGACTTGGCTTCCTCCCCACAGAGGTGCCCACGGTGGCTTTAGCATCCCCAACCCTCTGACCCAAACAGCTGCCCCCAGTATGCGGGGACCAGTGCTGCCCACCAGCCAGTGGGTGCCCAGGACACGGTGGTTTGACCAAGCAGTGACGCCCTTGGCCCAGCCAGCGGATGGAAAGGGGGCATGTCCATGGGACCCCTTGCCACGTGGTGGCAAAGTCCCAATGCAGACACATTCCCCCTGGAGGTGGTTGTAGCGTCAGAGGCCCAGGTACAAAATGCAGCACTTCTGGGGTGCTGATGAGGGGGTCCTCAGTGCCCCCTCCCCCAGCACCCTGACTCAATGCACCAAGAGCTATTGCTTGGCCCTCAGAGCGCCCAGGCCTGGGGCGGGGGGGCCAGGGGGTAGACGACTGCCCCAGGGCCATGGGGGGACCACTCCTGGCCCCACAGTTTAATGTGGAATAGAACATAGATTTTTTAAAAGGAAAAAAAAAATGAAAGTAGGACTCTTGATTACAGAAACTGGTTGATTTATTTAGAGTTGAGAAAGTGAATTGTGCTTGGAGGTTCATGCATGAAAAGGTTTGTCTAATTGAAACATGGGAGTTGCAGTTAATAATTAAAATTTTACCTGGATTGAGATCAGCTGTCCTTATAAGAATGTTAATATGGAATCCCCTGATTAGGCTTTTTTATGTTTTTTGCAATTCGTAGGGGCAGAGACAGGTTATTGAGGCTAGCTAGTATTCTTATGCCAGTATATAGTGCTATTTGAAATCCTTTCTAAGTAGGGAAAATAGTGCTGTATTAGTTTCCTATTGCTGCTATAACAAATACCCACAAAGTTAGTGGTTGTAAAATAGCATATCATCTTACAGTTCTGGAGGCCGGAAGTCGAAAATGAGTCTGTGTGACTTCTGAAGGCTCTTTGCCTTTTCCAGCTTCGAGAGTCTGCCCACATTCCTTGTCTTACCACCCCACATCACCCCAATTTCTGCTTGTCTCACTGCTGTTCCTCCGACTCTGCCTCTCCTGCCCTCCTCTTTCTCTGGCAGGGCTCTTGTGATCACATCAGGCCCACCTGAATAAGCCAGGCTAGTTTCCCAGTCTCAAGATCTGTAGCTTAATCACACCAGCAAAGTCCCTTTACCACAGAAGATAACATATTCACAGTGTGTGGGGCTAGGATGCGCAGATCTTGGGGAAGGGGCATACAAGGCCCATCGCCATAAACTTTCAGTGTCGGGGTTTGGGTGGGCGTGGCCTGGAGTCCAAAGTTCAGCCTCCTTCCTCTCTTGCTGGGTAGGTAAGGGTTCCTTGGGAGCAAAATCTCAGATTCTGACCTACCTCTGCCATGAAATGTGGATAGTGTTCATAGGGCCCACTGTCGTTGAGAGCTGGGATGGAATGTTCTGCCACAGGCACGTAGTAAAGGCTTGCACTCTCAGACAAGCATGTAGCCCAGTTCCTCGCCTGTAACACAAACTCCAAACATTCCCCACTTCTCCCTTTTTCCTTTGCCTGTTAAAGACTTCGTGAGACCTTCACAGCCCTCTTGCTCACGTGCTCCCGAGTCGCCCCAGGCTCCCGGTCGTGCAGAACTTCACAGCGTCAGCACAGTGTCAGTAGGAACGTTTGCCTTTAGAGGAATAAGGAGGGCCTTAAAGAGACCGGTTCTGTGCAGGTATTGATTGGTACACTTGGAGGGGAACATAGCTAACAGAGAGTGGTAGAGGAGGGGGAGGGAGCTGGCACACGCGTGCCCAGGAGTGCAGCCCCTCTCTGGACCTGCGGCTCTTCTAATACCACTGGCACCACTCACGCGACCTGGGCAGGTTATCTCCCTCTCCCTGCACCCCTCCTCCCGGGCCTCTGTTTTCTCATCTGTATGGTACAGATAAAAACCGTGGGTCTTTTTAAAGATCCTATCCAGCTCTTGTGCAATTAGGATGTTTGATTTTATAAAGTAACCAGGTTTTAAACCCAGGTCATATTTGTGGCAACTTGACCTAAATGTTGCTTTCTATTTCAGAAATTGGAGATGGTCTGTTATGGTTTGTTAGATGATGTATGTTAGGCATAAAGGACAAATAGTGATGGGGAGGGTTGTACTTGCAGGGGAGAAAGAGTACTGAGCCCTCGGTTTTATGAGAGCCGTCTGTATCAGATACCCACCAGGGAACGCAGCGATGGTTCGGGCCTGAGGGACGGCCTAGGCAGCCCAGAGAAAGGAAGGCGGCCGGGAAGGAAGCCGCCCCAGCTGCAGGTACGGCCACAGCCTGGTGCCCAGACTGCTGGAGGGCCCGGCCAGAGCGCCGGCACAGTCCCACGCCCAGCCTCACGCTGGGCCTGTGGAATCCGCATCTCGAGGCGGGAGATAGTAATTGTCTTTGCAGGGATGAACAGTTCCCCAGGGAGGACGTTTGGTGTGTGTGTGCAGTCTCTCTCTGCCTGCTGCGCTCATGGCTCAGAATTCTTAGAACTTGCAAAGACGACCATCTCTGCAGTGTCCCCCTCCCGCAGACTGGCCCCTCGGGGTTGTATGCTCCTCTCCTCACCATCCCACCGGGGGGTGTCGCCCCTACCGAGGTGTTCTTCCTTTGGGCCAGTTGGACTAGAGGAGACTGTCTTGCAGGACACCGTGCTCTCCTTGCTTTTTCTCCTGCTGGTCACTCGTCGTCAGCCTCCTTTGCTGTAACCCCACCCGCTGAATCCCCTCCATGCCTGGGGGGCACTGAGGCATCTCAGCAAGGCGCCGGGTCTCTGCAGACACTTCTAAAAACTTCCGCTGCTCTCCTGGATGTGAATTGGAGTTTTTGTTTTGCTTTATTGCATGTTTTATAAGTAACACATGTGATATAGTCTAATACAAAGTTTAGACATTTCTCATACGATGGCACAGCTCTCTCTGGTCCATTATATTTCTTGCATCCCTGGGCTTCCTGCCCATGATGGGGATGGTCCTAATTTGAAATTTAGATGTTTCTGTCACCACAGCTCAGTCAGCCAGAGCTCAGCAGGGACAAACCTGTAAGCAGAGTCACGCTCACTGGCTTCCAGCTTCGAGGGAGACCACACACCAGAGGAACAGAGTGTGTCTCACCAACAAGGGAGGAGCTAGAGCTTTTGGAGTATCTTGGAGAGCGGTGGACTTTCAGCGATGCTTAGTGAAGTCCTATTCTGATTGGCTCAGACCAGGGCTGGGTGTTAAGGTCTAGGCTGACGTGGCCCCACCGCTCTATTTCCTTGGAAAGTACAAAGTTAAGAGAAACGTGGAATGCCGCGTCCAGAAACTCCCTCATCTGAGACTCCACACCTACTCAGGAAATCCAAACTCCTTTTCGTTGTCCAGAGTGGGATGTTTCATTCTTTCTGTTTCCATTTCAAGTAGCAAAGTTCCTCACAGTGTGGGATTATAGAAGAAACGATGTCTCAGTGAGATCAGAAAGCCTTAGTCACTCAAAGAAGGTCAGTGTTAGGACACTTCATCGCTGTGACCTTGGGAGAAGTACGGCTTCCCGTTAACCTTGCACCTGACTTTGTGCTTATTGTTCCAGCCGGCTTTGCAAGTAGCAGGGCCGATTTTTACTTTCTCCATCTCACTGACCAGCTGTCTCACGGGCACTGCCTTCCTCCCACCCGTTGTCCTAACATGCTCGATTTTGACCCAGTGGGCTAGGATATGTGTTAGTTGAGATTTTGATGAAGTATAAATGACCAAAGTGCTTAGGATCTGCACTTGGCATCGTAAGGTACCTAAGAACTTGAGAAGCGCTAAAAAATAACTTAGTGGAAAATGACCAGGAAAAGAAAGCTGCTGTTTGAACTGATATTAGAAACGTAGGGAAGGGAAGCAGGAATAACAAAAGCAAAGCAGTGGTTTGAAGCCTTCAGAGGGAGTCGGTCCTTCAGTCTCCTTAATGTCACACCGAGAGATCTGGTCTAAGGAGATCACCAGCTTTGAGGGAAAAGATCATAGACAAGGATACATTATTTATCATGGTGAAAAATTGAAAATAATTTAGACATTAAAGGTGTTGTTATATACCTAAAATGAATATTTAGTGCCATGGGAAATGATCATGAACATGAAGTAAGCACCAAAGGAAAAAAAAAAAAAGAAAAATCAGGAAATTAAAATACAAAGTATGATATCAACTTTATTTTTTTATTTAGATGCTATGTATAAAAAAATGTCTGCAAGGAATCACCAAAACATAAAGGACGGTTATCTCAGTGTGGCTAACTTATCAAAGATTCTGTTTCTTTATTCTATATTTTCTACAATAAACTTATATTATTCAGAGCATTACCATAAGCATGCGTTACAATAATACAGTGCAGTTCTAAAAATAAGTGTGTATCACTCAGAGAAAGAAATTAGTTACTTTTGGGAAAATAGTGATGGTTCTTAGCTGTAAAATAGGTATTATATGAGGGAGATGATAGGCTACAGTGTTACTCGTATTCATGGGCTTGTCGGAATGTGTTTTTCCCACCTTGTCCCTGTTAGATTGAGGGACATAACTTTGCATTTTTGATGGGTGGTTTATATGCTGAACAGGCTGACTGAATCTGAGTCTTTTTCTAATTGTAGAATTTTTAGCATGTAACCCTTTTTTGCATAATTAGTCACTTCTACCAGTAGAAGTAACAAATTTAGTAGACCAGAATGTAGTAGTAGCTTGGCATTGGTTGTTATGCCCAGAAAAGGGATTTCAAACTTTAAACCCTGTTACTACTGATGTTATTTTTAACTTTTTCTATTTCTCCTTTTTCTAGAGTATTTCTAGGCTCCCAAAAGTTAAAAAATTATTAAATACTATGTATCTATCAGGAGAAGTATGTGGGAAATTATTGAAATTTGGTTATGATCCATTGGGATATATGGACAAAGGAAGTTTTGGATTTAGATTGTCTTTCTGCCACTTATAGCAAAGTTTGTTTTTTTTTTTAAGATTTTATTTATTTATTTGACAGAGAGAGATCACAAGTAGACAGAGAGGCAGGCAGAGAGAGAGAGAGAGAGAGAGAGGGAAGCAGGCTCCCTGCCGAGCAGAGAGCCCGATGCGGGACTCGATCCCAGGACCCTGAGATCATGACCTGAGCCGAAGGCAGCGGCTTAACCCACTGAGCCACCCAGGCGCCCCAAAGTTATTTTTATAAGGAGGAATGTACATAAGTCTTTATCTGGAAATTAATGTGACTATAGAGTTTCTAAAATGTGTAGCAACACTGTTAAGTCTTCAGTAGACTTGTCTTTTTGACCCTCTAGAGTCTAGGACGATGTCTGGAGAACTTCCTCCGAACATTAACATCAAGGAACCTCGATGGGATCAAAGCACCTTTGTTGGACGAGCCAATCATTTCTTCACTGTGACAGATCCCAGGAATATCCTGTTAACCAACGAACAACTAGAGAATGCAAGAAAAATAGTGCATGATTACAGGTAACCTCCATGATTATGCTTTTTTGATTAATACGGTAATAGGTCATCATGTTAGCCTGTTGTCTTTTAAACCTTCACTTAGTGATTTTACAACTTTTCTTTTTTTGCAATGGAATCATCTTTACCCCCCCCCCCCCCCCCGCCGCAAAAAAGAGGAAATAGGAAGACATGTTTTATCCCTGGAGGCTGAGCCTTAGTGCAGATATCCGGGGTTCACAGTGACCTGAAAATAAGACAGCCATCCCTCCAACTCCTAGGTACCGATCCGTGAGGTCCCCTTTCCCAGCACTCTGCCCCCTACTCTCTAGTTCATCCCTGTATCCATAGCCCACGCCCTGCGCGTGCATCTTTCTGTCCCCAGATGGAGAGAGCACCATACAAAAAGCAGGTGGTCAGGGGAACCTGGGTGGCTTGGTGGGTTAAGCCTCTCTCTGCCTTTGGCCCAGGTCAGGATCCCGGGGTCCTGGGATCGAGCCCCGCATCTGGCTTTCTGTTCAGCGGGGAGCCTGCTTCCCTTCCTCTCTCTCTGCCTGCCTCTCTGCCTACTTGTGATTTCTGTCTGTCAAATAAATGAATAAAATCTTTAAAAAAAAAAAAAAAAAAGCAGGTGGTCAGAATTAGAGTAGGTTGGTTGCTTCTGAAATTAAGCCTCAGTGAACGAACCTTGCCCGGAGGGACTCAGACGGAAAGACGCTGTAGCAGGTTTGTCGGTTTGGGCTGCGGTTCATGGATTCAAAGAGCCAGCCGTGACGTCAGAGAAGAGCGGTGCTCTAACAAGGCAGTGGTCACAACTGTCTCCATAAAAGACCACATGAGAAATATGTTAGGCTTTGTGGGCCACTGAGGGTTTCTGCCCCATAGTTTTCTCGGTTTTTTATTTTTGTTTTGGGCGTTTTTAAAAATTCTATATTTTTAAAAATACAATCTTTTAAAAAATTAAAAGCCACTCTTAGCAGGTGAGGCAGACAGGCCACAGACAGTAATTTACAGACTCCTGCTCTAGGGGGAGTCAGCCAGAAGCTGAGATCTGGAGCAGCGGGCGCTACGCCACCCAAACATGCCGTGAGCGGCACCCACAGGCAGGTGTTTAATGGTCACGTGGGTGGTCAGGGAAGGAAGCAGGACAGTCTGCAAAGTTCGTCATCAGACACTGAGGCTGGCCAGATCTTAGCCCGTACCAGCGCATCAAGAGAAAAGAGCCGAGCAGCAGAACATCTTGGAACCTTATGCCAAAGTACCAAAGAACAGACAGAGGAAGAGCAGAAGCACACGTCAGGAATTCAGGAAGGGAAGTGTTCTGTGAATCTGGAACAAAAGCCATAAAGCAGAGAGGTGCAGAAGAAAAGACAGGAGTTGAAAAGAAGACGTAAAAGCGTTGCAAAGGAGCTAACAATGTGAGAGCAAAACAGGGGCAGTGGGAGGCACGAATTACAGTGCTGGCTCGCTCGGTGAAAAAGGAGCAACAAAGACGCGGAGAATAAACCCAAGACACTCCTCCAGTGGGGGAGAGCAGAGGTTGGCATGCTTTCCCCGAAGAGGGCCAGGGGGCGCTGTTTTCTGCTTTGCAGGCCATACATTGTCTCGTGCATATCCTTGTTGTTTTTGCTTGTTTTTACAACCCCCTAAAAGTGTAAAAACCATTTTTAGCACACAAGCCATTCAGAAACAGTCCATGGGCTATATAGTTTGTCAGTTCCCGATAACAGATGGGAAGGTGGAAGCAGATTAGGGTTTCCAAGAAAGCAGGGAAAGCCTCCAAAGGAGCCTGCTTTTGGGGAGATGAAAATATTCCATACCATGACTCTGGAGGTGGCTGCACCACTCTACCTTTTCCAGAACTCACCAAGTCATGCACTTAAAATGGGTGACTTTTACTGCAATTAAATTATACCTCGGTGAAGCTGATTTAATTTTTTGAAAAAGGAGATGCTTCCCAATTAATTTGCAGCACTGATACTGTAAATGACAGAAGTACACTGAAAGAGTACAGTGACCCATCTTGCAAATTAATAATGTAAAAATCCAGAATAAAATACAAGCACATCAAATCCAGCCTTTCATGAAAGTATGAACAAGTAGGATTTATTCCAGGAATAAAAAGTTGTTTAATTTTAGGACATCTATCAGTGGAATTTCTCACATTGAAGCAAGAAAGTCACATCTTGATAGATGCCTGAAGGAAGGTTAAATTATCCATGTGTTCCTCAGAAAATAATTGATCAGCTAGGAATAATGTACTGTATTTCTTTAATATGGTAAAGAATACACACCCACGTTAGCAGCCAGCATCACACCAAATAATGAAAGAGTAGAGCTGAACGTCCCAGACAGTTCAGCAGAAAAGCAATCCTGTGGAATATTTCACCCCAACACCAGAGAGGGAGAGAGAGAAAGAAAGAAAGGCAGAAAGACAGAGAAAGATAGAAAGGAAGGGAGGGAGGGAGGAAAGGAGGGGAGAAGGAAAGAAAGGAGAGAAAGTGGCTTCCATAGTCAAATTTGGAAAAGTTTACAGCCCATTTTCTTTTTTTTCTTAAGATTTTATTTTTAGGGGTGCCTGGGTGGCTCAGTGGGTTAAAGCCTCTGCCTTCAGCTCAGGTCATGATCCCAGGGTCCTGGGATCGAACCCCACATCGGGTTCTGTGCTCAGCGGGGAACCTGCTTCCTCCTCTCTCTGCCTGCCTCTCTGCCTACTTGTGATCTGTCTGTCAAATAAATAAATAAAATCTTTAAAAAAAAAAAAGATTTTATTTTTACATAATCTCCATAGCCAACACGGGGCTTGAACTTAAAACTCAGATCAAGAGTTGCGTGCCTCACTGACTGAACCAGCCAGGCACCCCGATATCCCATTCTTAAGGATGTCACACCCTAATGACTGCAAAAAATTCCAAGAAGTATTAGAATAAATAAAGCCATTAGTCTGTTTTCCCAGACTTGAACATAACACCTTATAACACTCCCCTAAAAGTCTTGCTCTATGAGGCGTTCTCTTTAAAGTCAGGAGCAAGTCAGGGATACCTTTATCTTCACTATTGTATAACATTGTTCTGGAGCTCTAACCAATTCGAAAGACCTAAAAAAGAAGTAAAAGGGGTGCCTGACTGATTTATCAGTGGTGCATGGGATCCTGAATTTGAGCCGCATATTGAGTGTAGACATTGCTTAAATAAATAAACTTTAAAAAAACGAAGACAGATGAAAGAAGATGTACAAATCATAAAAACATGAGATAATTTCTTTTGTCTTTTTTTTTTTTTTGCAAACGATGATTTTCTCACCAACTAAAAAAACCCAATGGAACAAATAAGAGAATATAACAAGTAGGCTACACAAAAAGTCATCAGTTTCCTATACATCAGCAATAATTTATTAGACAATATTATGTTAACAGCATCCATAAGGCCAAAAATATACATATACCTATATATAAAATATCTGGGATTACATTTGCCCAGAAGTGTGAAGCAGTTCCAGCCCACTTGGGGGTGGTCATTAAAAGAAGCTTTTGATAACTGGAGAAACATGCAGTAAGTCTGGTTGAAAAGTCTTAATACAGTACAGGTGTCAATTCTCTCCAAATCAGTACAGTTTCAGTCCAAATACAAATGTGCTCACCTATAAAACTGACAGAATAATTCTAAGCATTGTCTGAAAAAAGAATGAGCATAACTTAGGTTAGTTTTTGTTTGTTTTTGTTTTATAACAGAGAGAGACCGAGCACTAGCAGGCAGAGGGAGAGGGAGAAGCAGGCTCCCTGCTGAGTAAGGAGCCTGACAATGGCTCATTCCCAGGACCTGAGATCATGACCGGAACCAAAGGCACTTGCTTAACCAACTGAGCCACCCAGACGTCCCAAGAATGAACATAACTTAGGCACTTTTGAAAGAGGAGAGACTGCTGTTCTACCAGGCATAGAATAGATTGTCACTGGGAGGGTGGGCATGGGCCCCACAGGGTAAAGATAGTGGGAACTCTATAGAAAGTCCCAACACCTTGGGGCGCCTGGGTGGCTCAGTGGGTTAAAGCCTCTGCCTTCGGCTCAGGTCATGATCCCAGGGTCCTGGGATCGAGCCCCGCATCGGGCTCTCTGCTCAGCCTGCTTCCTCCTCTCTCTCTGCCTGCCTCTCAGCCTTCTTGTGATCTCTGTCAAATAAATAAAAAAAATCTTTAAAAAAAAAAAAAAAAAAAAAAGAAAGTCCCAACACCAACCAAGCCCAGCATTCACAGGATCTCAACTGATGATGACTATAGCATTTCAATCTGGGTGTTAGGGTGGCAGAGCAGCCAATGGTAAAGTCAAGTTAAGCAAGTTCAACATTTTCCTATCTTAAGATAAATTCCAAATAAATTAAAAACCTCAGCAACAATTAAAAAAAACAAACAAACAAAAAAAAACCAAAACAAAACAAAAAATAACCCTGTTACGAAAGTGCAAGACGTAGAGGTGAATATTTGTATAACCCTGAAGCAGGTCAGCCCTTTCTAGGCAAAGACTGCGTTTATTCCTGCCTGACTACATCAAGATAAAAATGTTCAGGGGAGCAGATAACACAGCTAACAAGATTGGCCTACAGCGGGTCAAGTTGGGTCAAATTTACACGAGAGCCACTTTGGCAGTGAGGGTGCTGCCCCCCCACCCCAGGATCAACAGACATAATCAAGTAGAGAAGAATGACAAAACACATATTCACCGCCTCAAAATTTTACATGACTTTGGGCTCAGCATTTGTTTCTGATTAATCTTAGATGCAGGGGAGAGATTTATTAAGGAGATTGACTTCCTCATCCTTTACAAATGGAAAAGATTAGAAGCAATTAAAGTGCCCCGCAGTAGGGATTGGGATAATCCACTATTAGAATCCTGCAGCGGAAGACTGGAGCATTTAAAAGGATGATGTGTTAGTTTCCTAAGGCGGCTGTAACAAATTACCACCAACGGAGTGGCTTCAGACAGCAGAAATTTGTTCTGTTGCAGTTCTGGAGGCTAAAGTCGGAGACCACTGTGTCGGGAGAGTCACTGCCCTCTGAAGGCTCTGCGGGAGAATCTTTCCTCTCCTCTTCCAGCTTCTGGTGGCCCGAGGGGTGCCTTGATGTTCCTTGATTTGGAGCCACATTATTCCAGTCTCTGCCTCTGAAATCACAGGACCTTCTTTGTCTGCACGTGGTTGGCATTCAAGGGCACTGGTCATCGGATTTACGGCTCTCCCTTATCAGCATGACCTCATTTTAACTATTACATCCACAAAGACCCTGGTTCCAAATAAGGTCACATTCTGAGGTTCTGGGTGGATATGAATTTGGGGGGACACTATTCAACCCAGTACAGCTGATAGAGAAGAAGCTCTAAAGATATAGAAAAGCGTTTACAAAATACTATTCATTTTTAAAAGGTCGTTCTAAAGCAACAGATATGGTGTTCATAGAGATCCTGAGTGGGCATAGACAGATCTGCAAGACCGTGGCTGTGTCTTCACAAAACAGTATCAGTGGACATGAGTAATCAAGGGCTTCAGTGGTTTTAATTGCACTAATGATTGTCTGTATTTTCTAAGTTTTTAGCAATGAACATGTGTTTCTTTGATAACAGGATAAAACAATGAGCCCTTCTAGTCTGGGGTTTCAGACTGTAGGTATAAAAATTAATTGATGTTCTTGATTGCCACAGCTTTTGTCTAATTGGTTGAAAATATTATAGAATTTGCAAAGTTCAAAATACATTTTTAAATATGTCATTTAAAACAAGGATATTTCAGAGTTGAATACTTTAAGATACAAAATAAGTTTTTGTTTTTCAAAATTGCAGACGGTTTAAGATACATGGGTTTGAAATATTCATTGTGTTTACTTTCTTTTGTGTTACTAGAATTTCACCGCAGGCACAGTTGTTTTAGGTAAGGGTAAACTTAAAAACTTTCTAGCGACATGTCTCTAGAGCACTGGTGAGCTATTGGAAATGAACAGGTTTTTTTATTATTATTTTCTGTCCTTCTTGTTACTTCTTGTTTCCCTAGGCAAGGAATTATTCCTCCAGGTCTTACAGAAAATGAATTATGGAGAGCAAAGTACATCTATGATTCAGCTTTTCATCCTGACACAGGTGAAAAGATGATTTTGATAGGAAGAATGTCAGCTCAGGTTCCAATGAACATGACCATCACAGGTTGTATGATGACATTTTATAGGTAAGTTATGGAAATGTAACAACCGTTCACTTTATACTCAGAAGCTTAAAGTACATTTTTGTATGTAAATAGTTTTATTGAAATAAATGTCATTCCACGCTGACTTCCATTTTGTGTAAATGTCATAGCTTGGGGGGGGTGGCCTTAACTTTTCCCTGTGCTAAATAAATAGTATTCTCTGTCAAAAGGAGACTGAATTTTTCCCTAACTCTTAACACCTGAAAGAAAATGAGATGGATAGCCGTAGCGGTAGCCGTAGCCGTAGCCGTAGCCGTAGCCGTAGCCGTAGCCGTAGCCGTAGCCATAGACGCAGACATTCAGGCTCTTCCGTGCTGTGAGGAGGGAGCAAGGCTCCTTCACCTACACACAGCTGGCTTTTCTCCCCAAGAGAAGGGGCGTTGAGTGTCTGCTGTATGCCAGGCTGTCTGCGATTTAAGATCAGGTTTAAGGAGGATGACTTGATCCTTACTGTAGCCCTTTGAGCTTGGGGTTACCCAGAGCCAAAGAAGGAGGCTGAGAATCAGAGGGCGCCCTTCTGCCCCGCCACTCAGGTCCTAAGCCTTCGACGCAGGACGCACGGTCTCTGACCTAGCGTTCTCCTTCCACAGTCCATCTCCTCTGTGGTTACTGGTGTTCACATTTTTTGTTCCGCCCAGCGGCTAGGTCACAGGCGATGGCCGGTGTGTGATGGATCGCTCTGTTTTAGGACCACACCGGCGGTGCTGTTCTGGCAATGGATCAACCAGTCCTTCAACGCCGTGGTCAATTACACCAACAGAAGCGGAGACGCTCCCCTCACTGTAAAGTAAGACCCTGAGACTTAATCGTTCTCCGTACTGCCCCACTGTGCGTTGGGGTCAGTGGTGTGTAGACTGTTGGTGTTGTTCAGAATATCATGGGGCATATTTTCCAGTAGCCCTCCTCCTCCTGCCTTCCCATCAAGATGACCATCTTGTCCAGCCTGCCTTCTCAGAGATCATTCGTGCTGTTAGGGATGCTGGTGGGCACACCCTGAAGCAGGACACAGGGCGGGCAGTCGAGGGCCAGCCTGTGGCAGATGACAGGCTGTACCCCCGTCCACCCTGAGCCTGTGGCCAGTTAACACCATCAAAATTAGCGGCGTCCAGAGTGTGATCTCTGCAGAAACCAAGGGGACTTTTATTTAGGATATGTCTTTAAATAAGCCATCTATAGAGCCAAACAGAAGATAATAGGTTTAAAATATTGCCTCCTATTTAAAAAAAGAGTGTTCAAGCAGGCTTAAGAGATTAGCGAACCAAAACTTTTAGCTCAACTTGGAGAACACTTCAGAGTGTTTTCTTTTTTGTCACTTTAGATGGCTTCTGACAGTCCGTATCCTTCTCTTGTCACCATATGGAACAAAGGCTGTGGAAATCTGTCACCAACAGTGTTTAACACACCTTCATTTCTTCCAACCCTTTGAATTAACACTTATTTTATTTATTTGTATTTATTTATTTATTTATTTATCTTTTGAGAGAGAGCACACCGGGGGTGGGGGCGGGGGAGAGAGGGAGAGGGATACAGAACCTTCAGCAGACTCCACACCCAGCACAGAACCCAGTGTGGGCCTCAATCTCACGACCCTGAGATCATGACCTGAGCCGAAACCCAGAGCCAGATGCTTAACTGACTGAGCCACCCAAGTGCCCCTAAAATTGTATTTAAAATAAGAGAAAACAGCTGTGCTTAACTGCCTGTTGCAGATGGGACTTTTAGGATTTTGATACAGCGAGTTAGTTTTAAGAACAGCAGCATGGAAGTTTTATCCCAGTATGTGTATTTATATTTTGAGAAGTACTTTTAATTTAGGCAGATATGCTGCCGCACCTCGGCCAAGATGCCGTTCCCTACACGCTCGCAGCGCCTCCGTGCCCCCCAGTGTCTACTCCCTGTGGCTGCTGCTGACGGTGCTGGTCGGCTTGTCTGCATGCACGGCCGCTCTTCCAGGGCCTGCTCGCTTCCAGTGTGCGTTTGTCCGTTTGTAGAGTGATCATGAGGCGTGTTTTGTGGGCTCTTCCTTCTTAATCATGCCCTTTCACATTGTCCCCTCGTTTTCTCAGAAAGTGTTGAACCCGAGTTTCCTGATGTGCACTCGTTTTTCACGCTCTATCCTTTCTTTGCAGTGAGTTGGGAGCAGCTTACGTTTCCGCAACAACTGGTGCCGTGGCAACAGCTCTAGGACTTAACGCGTTAACCAAGGTACTCAGATTTTTATTACCCCAGTAAGGCTTCTTCCTTTCTTCTTACCCGACTGCCCCCAGGTCTCTCCATTATTTCTCAAAATAGCTCAGGTCCTGGGACTTTCTTGTTACCATCATTATCTTTGCCTGCCTATCTCAGTGGGGTCTCAGAAGTGCTGTCACCAGCCACCTCTGCCAAGCCCCTGGTCCGTCCCTGGCACTGCGTCTTATGTGGCCAGTGCTCCCCAACCCTAACTGCCCACTAGAGGCTGTGTGCCGAGGACTGTGCCCGCACCCACACCTCTGGAAAGGTGGAGACGCCAGCTCCTGAACTCAAGACCCCGTGACTCGAAAGCCTACCCCAGTCCATCAGCCAGGCCAATCTGGTAAATGTCTTGGAAGCCCGCCTTGTCCCAGTGCACCCGTGCTAGAAATCCACAAGTACTCCCGGGAAACAAGTTTTGAAAGTACTTCTGGCCTGAGTTGGCACACAAATAAGACTGTGTTTTTAGCGAGCTTTCAAGGAGAAGTAAGTATTTGCATTCAGTCACACGGGCAAAGTAAGATAATGCGTTTGGGATTTTTCTTTCCGCAGCATGTCTCACCACTCATAGGACGTTTTGTTCCCTTTGCTGCCGTGGCTGCTGCTAATTGCATTAATATCCCATTAATGAGGCAAAGGTAAGATTCATATGCAGTCTTAGAAAGGACTGGTGCTTGACAGTACGGTCTGGTAATAATTCATTTTGTTGAAACTTTTAATAATTCATTTTAATATTTATGGATGGAATTACATGGGACCTCAGGTTTGTTTCCAAGTGATCTGTTGTGGGCACAAGGATAGCTCCGTTAATGAAACAAGCTTAGCCATGAGTTGCTAATTATTGAAGTAGGCTAATGAGTATGTGGGGGGGGTTAGAATACTCTCTCAACTTCTGTGTAGTAAAAAGTTTAAAACATATATTTCCAACTAACATTTGGTTGTTTTAGAGCTAGGCAAAGAAGGCCCATGCACAGAACGTCTGTTCTCTAAAATAGGCTGCCCCCCCACCCCAGAACTGTCTTAATGGGTTTAAAGTAATATTAATCTATATTTTTGGAAGTATTTTATAGAACTGGTCGAAATTAAAAGGGAAGAAAGAACAAGAAAAAGCATTTTGGAATGGATAATGAAGAACAGGGTAAAATAGGAGCTATAATTTTAGTGCTAGTGGCCAGAGTTAACTATCCAGCAGTGCCATAGACTAGTGATTCCCATGTCAGTGTGGTGAGTTTACTCACTAATGCCGTGTTTTATAATTGTCTCTCATTTGGAAAGCTGCTGAGATTTGCATGTGAGCATAGAAATTAGCCTTACCTTTAAGTTAGCATGTTCACCCTTTGAATTACATTGTTATTAAAAATGCGACACTTTTTTCCCATGGAGTTTACTAGTGTTATTTTACTTTTCTTTTTTTAAGATGTTATTTACTAATTTATTTATTTGAGACAGAGAGAATGACAGTGAGCAGGGGGAGGGGCAGAGGGAGAGGGTCCTGGGATCAAGTCCCGCGTTCAGCGCCCTGCTCAGCAGGGAGTCTGCTTCTCTCTCTCCCTCTGCCCTTCCCCACTGCTCATTCTCTCTTGCTGTCAAAGAAATAAAATCTTTAAAAAATAAAAATAGACCTGTTAGTTCCAAAAATGACACTCGAGTGGGCATTTGGATTCAGTATGGACTTGACGTTCCGTAGCACAGTGCCATTTCCAGCCGTCTCACAAGGGTCTCTGTGAACTTCTTTGCCTGCGTTTTGCTCTGCAGGGAGCTCAAAGTTGGCATTCCCGTCACAGATGAGAATGGGAACCGCTTGGGTGAGTCAGCCAACGCTGCAAAACAAGCCATCACGCAAGTCGTCATCTCCAGGATTCTAATGGCAGCCCCGGGCATGGGTTAGTAGCTCTTTGTCCACGGGCCCTGGCTGTAGCCTGCGGGGTGGGAAGCAGCGTGGGCACGGGAGTGGTGTGATCCTGAGGCTTTAGGGGCGTGACATCCACGCTGTGTGCAGCGTGAAAAGGGCCAGCAGCGATGGTCGGAGCCTGGCGAGAAGGCTGGCCCGCTACAGCAGGCCAGTGATGGGGCTGGTTTGGACCAGGGTGGGGACAGTACGAGTGATGAGAACTTGAAGGCAAAAATTTTGATTTTCGTATACCTTGAGAAGAAACTTCTAAAAGTTCTTGAATCAGAATAATAATTTCTACTGAAGATTTACTTGTATCGATGAGAAACCCTTGGAATACAAACCAAGTTGGGTCAGTTAGAGCAGCTATGAAGATGTATGCCAAGCTTCTGCCCAGTTTTGTCCATAGGGCTGGGAGTTGACATGACCCACAGCCAAAATCTGCATTGTTTGTGGCTCCTCTGAGACCCTTTCACTCACTCCTACGACTTCCTGGAGCCACCCTCAGACCAAGGCCGAGAGAAGATTCTCAGACTCACTCAGGAAACAGAGGGCCTGGGAAGTCTAGTGCTCTTTACAAAAAAAAAAAAAGAAAAAAAGAAATTAGTGGGATTAATTTCATCATCTCAGCTGGATGCAGAAAGCACTTGGCTATTAACCAAGCTGTCAAAAGAAGCACACTTAATCACTTGTTGTCAGCTTGTCCTGCTAGTATCTTTTGTTGTCTTTAAGTGCCTTTTGTCATTGTGAGTCTCATCAGCCCACGAGTAAGAATAGGTAACCAAAGTTGAAGAAAAGGGCCTGAAGGAAAATTTTGCGGAACATTATAGTGGCATCAGTTATAATCCCAGATCATTCAGGTTATCTGATGTAGCCACTGTTAAATGATTGAATGAAGGAATCCCTTGGCGTCCTCAGGAGACAGCAGTGCTCACTGCGGGGGGGGGGGGGTGTGCTGTGGGAACCGCAGTCATGAAACAGACCAGGGTCCCCAGAGTCTGGGACCAGCACACGGTCACTAACCCACGAGGGGCTGCGGCGCCTGTCCCAACACGCCAGCAGTATCCGGATTTCCACATCTGCCACCATCAGGCTTACAACTCCAACCTCTCTGTTCTGCATTTGCTTTTGGTTTGCGTTTTGTTCTTGCTCATTTTGAAAAACGAGGTTCGCCTTTGGAGCTCAGCCAGCCCAACAGACCTATTTCTAGTGGCTTGGTTATTTTAAACATTAATGAGTCCCCAGAGAAGAAATACAAGCTTTCTGTCCCAGTGGAAGCTATAGAGGTAATTGCCATATGGAAGTGGTTGATGTGACAGTTTAGTCTGATAGAAATTGTACTATAATTTATAATAATAAATGTCAATAATAAGTAATGATGTACTACCGCTACCCAAGGTGTTACATGCATTATTGTCTCCAATGATCACAGCCAGTTTGATAGAATTCTCCCCATGTTATTGATGAGGAAAACAGAACGCTGAGGCCCAGAGAAGTTAGGTGACTTTTCTTCCTCAAGGCAGGAATCTTTTTCTTAAGGCAGAATCTTTTTACTGGACTCCACGTGGGAGGGATGCTTGGGGGAGGTTGCATTTGTTTAATTAGCACAGAAGGGGAAAATTCCTGAGGTTTGTACTGTTTCAAAGTAAATGTAAAGTTCTCTTCAAGATTATAAAATTTTCTGGCTGGTAAAGAGAATTATTACATTGTTTTAAATTTTTTTAAATGCTAAAGCATTCTAAAGAATTACTGCAAATAATTTCGCTCTGCCAGTGTGAAAATAGCCTAAAAGTGACATAAACCTTTTTGTGAAATAGTTGAAAAGGCGTGAGCTGAAAATAAATATTAAAGAAAGATTGAAATGGATCTGTCTTTCCTTGCAGCCATCCCTCCATTTATCATGAATACTTTGGAGAAGAAAGCCTTCCTAAAGGTAAGCCCCAGTTCTAGTCTCTGTCTCATTCCTTTCAATTCCTTTTCAGACTTTAAACAATACAGAATATTTCCTACCCAGTGCGTAAAGAATTTGAAGGCCACTGGCACTTGGGCACTTGTGTAAATAAAAAGATGTTTCCAGGAACATTTCACTTCTGATCTCAGATCTTTGAAAAAACTTTCATAACTGAAGGTGGCTACCCATTCCTCCTGAGAGGCTGTGCTCAGTTACGGCTTATCTTGGTCATCCTTCGGATGCCCAGCCAGGTGATCATGAAGAGACACTGTGAATTTGGGATGACGTGTGTGTAAGTCACTACACATACTACCAGAAATGAAAAAAGTTTGGAGTAGTAGCTTTATAGGACCCTGAATATAGTACCCAGTGTATTTTCCTTTGGTGATCATATCTACTAAGTAATTCATTAATCTGTCAGCCATCTCCCTTCAGGGTCTGAAAATATTACAGGATGACACTGTGAACAAGGACTCTTGATGGTTCCCCGCTGCTTTTTCTAGCTTCCCGGTTTAAAGCAGTAGTGTTCGTGCTTCACCCTCATTTTCCCTTTCTTTCACAAGCGGGATACGGTAGAACAGGGTGACTCACTTGGCTCATGCAGTTTGGAAAGTGGCCCCGGTAGATCTGCCAAGAAAAAGGAGCCCGGTTCCTCACTGGAGGAGCAGGTGTGTTGTGGGGAAGACCACAGCTCTCCTGGGGTGAATTGTTTTGGCTCTGGGAAACAGAACCATAACATTGGGGGGATGATACATAAAGCTTTAAACAAGGACATAGTTCACAAGCCAAATACTTCCTGAATGACGTCATTGATTAGGAGTATGTTCACTGACCCATATACCTCCCATGTGCCCCAGAAGGAAAGCTACGGTCAACACTAAGTGAGCATTTCATAAACACTTTCATTATAGGGGCATTCTTAGAGAAGTAAGCCAGAAAGTCTGCTGTGAGGAAGCAGTAATGTTGAGTGCCTCCTTTGACCCACATAGCCAGGTTGTCACCTGTCAGTGCCCCAACCCCATGTTAGGGAAAGGGGACCCTCTCCAGCACCTTTTCTCCTATTCTTGTTTGCGTGCTTTGGGCACATGGAAGAAGTTTCTGTTCCATGAGTGTCCTCCTCTAGCAAGTTACACGTTGGTATGAATTGTGCAGTGTGTTGTCGTGGCTCTGTAGCAACAGGACTGTCCCAAAGAACAAAACAGTTACATACATGGAAGCAGGAAAGCTGTTGGTACAGACCAAAATGTCTTTGTGGACTCATCTGGCATTTTACCTACCTGATGTAGCCACTGAGCTCTTCTTCTGCGAATTAATGATGAAGTTTTGCCCAAATCTCTTTCTGGTGCAAAGTTCAGAAAAGGATGAACCCTTAAAAGCTGCTAATGGATTAGTTTATGTACTAGAACAGCGACTATATCCTAAAACTACCAAATTACATACACATTTGGAATTCATCAGCTTTGACATCTCCGTGATTTTCAAATAATCTGAAAAAAATTAGTGCTCCTTTCTCTATCCGTCCCTGCTTTACTTATGGGAAGTGATCTGGGCTTTGAAAGAAGAAACCTGTCAAATTAATTGAAGTGGAGTTTGCAGCAGCCCTCCAGGACACTGGCAGTGAATGGCCCCTCCAGGACACCCATAACTGTGCAGACATCGACTTGATGCCCTGCGTTCTTCTCTCCTGGCTCTTGATCGGGAAAGGCTTTAGGATTAGGATTATAGTGGTTCAGCCAGGGCATGTGTGGACCCAGGCAACCTTTCAGACTTACCTGGTTGTTAGCGCCTGAGGTAGTGACATGCCAACTTGAGAAGCAATGGAGCATCGAAATAACCCTAACCCCCGCCCCCGACCAAATGCGATCAAGGTCTGACTTAAAGCCAGGCCAGATGTCTAGGTCAGTTACAAGTCTTGGAAATTGTCCTCCGGTGTGAGTTTGACATAAAAGTGACAGCTCTTGCAAGAGAGGAGTAATAAGTGTGGCTCGTTGTCCAGTAGCGCAGGAGGTTAAGATTGTCCTGAATCTACAGGCAGCCGTGAAAGCAGGTGGGAGGCTCTGCTCTCGGTGGCAGCATCTGCACTGCTGAGGCTGACCTGATCTGCCTGACCTGCCTGACCTGCCTCTCACACGCCGCCCACCACCTCTAGCAGAAGGGTCTGCGCAGCCTGCCTCTAGAGTAGAGGCTCCGAGCCTCACCACCTGCCCCTGCGGGCGGTGCTTTCTTCTGCAGTCTGGCTCCCACCTGCAGGTGTTGGGCACACTCTGCCACGAACCTGTGTCCGGATCATGGCTGGGGATTCCAGAAATGCTGGGAGAAAGTCTGCATTTGAAGCTCCAGCAATGCTGAGAAGTTAGGGCACTGGGGAAAACAGGAAACGAGGTTGGTACATTCTTCTCCAAGTGCAGGCGTGCCTTGGCGCTCCTGGGGTCTCAGCATTGTTGGAAAAGTTGCCAGAGTGTCTCTGATCTCTGAGTGACAGACATTGGACAGAGACCCAGTTGGGCATTTCACATCATTATCTTGCTCTGATGGATGGAAATTGCTGCAGATACAGCCTAATGGCATTTTCTGTGTGAAGGAGCCAGCAAATGCACAAGAAGTTAGCTCCCCATTGCCACTGTGCTATGGGCTTTCTCACATTAATAAATGAGTGTATACTTTGTTTTCCTCCCTCTCCTCAGTGTGCACCTTTTAGCTTTGCTTGATACTGTATTTCGCCCATAATAATTTGGAGATGTGCCACCTCACCTGTCCTTCACAAAGCAGCCCTCTGTCTGCCCCACTCTCGAGCGATGAAGGGCCCCACCGGGAGCTGGGGGAGGCCACCGGCCTCAGAACCACCGTGGCAAGGTCTGGAGCGGTGGTCAGAGTAGCCAACGCTCAGTCCTAACGTCACGCTGGCTACAGGGGGTCCGGTTGTGGCTGTCCTGCCCGAGACCTCCGAGGAGGACGTTGCTTTGGGAAGGGAATGGCGGAATGTTGTTGAGCTGTTCATACACACGTACCACTCCCCAAGTGCAGCGTGGCCTTACCCTGAAATACTGCATTTTGCCCATGTAAAGAGTTCCAGAGGACTTAACTGAGAGTCTAGCTCTTGCTAAAACATAGGCCAGGGTGGCTTGTCTTACTGTCCCTACATTTCCACCTCCAGAGCACTTGCCCATGCCTCGGGAGGGGCCGGCTTCACCGTGCCCCTTCTACAGAGGGTGCAGAGGCCACTTGTCCCACGGCTCATGACGTCCACATGGGGGTTGTCTGCCTCCCTCTGTGCCCTGACTGTTCCCAGAGCCCCGGTGGCTGCGTGTGCCCCTCTGCAGGGAGGTGCTTAACCGGGCTTCTACCTCGGCCATGACCAAACCTACCTGCAAACATGAAACAATTGGCACATTCTTGGCGTTTTTAGCAGTGAGCTTGGGGAGCAGTCAGTGTGACTCATCCCTCCCCCTACACTGTACCTTTTCCCCAGTGGAACGCTGGAAAAAAGCATCCGCAGTGGACAGGAGACTCACAGAAATCTTTGTGATAAACCAGAAAGCTCACTGCTGACACCCTGGCCCTTCGAAGAATGGAAAGAATAACTCCTGTGGTCCCTTTCCCTTGAGGCGCTTTCACTGGGAGTAAGTCCAGTTAATGTGGTTTGGGTCAGATTGTGGTTCCTCATTCCTTAAGTTCTACTCCTTCCATATCTCCTTTAATAAAAGGTGGCTGCTCTGTCCACTCTGGAGATTTTCAGGACTTTCTGTTAGTTAAATGTGGATGTAGCATTTATTTACCCACTCACTGATTTATTTACTCGGTTACGCTTTGCTGAGTGCCCATTACATGCCACACAACATGCGACGAGCTGAGTCATAGAAACAGAGCTAGAGTCCTGATCGTGGGGACCGTACAGCTCAGGGACGGAAAGAGGTGCATGGCAGGGGTTCTGATCCTTGCTGATTACAGCACAGGGAATAGAGGAGTTGACTCCCTTAACAACAGGCGGTGGCAGAGACTAGAAGAGGATGGCTCAAGGCTCCATGCTTTGCAGCAGCTCACAGAGAGGACACAGCATGGCTTCTTGGGAGACTTGTGGATGCCGGGGTCCCTGGCATTGGGGCCCTATATAGGGGGTTGACCGTACCATATATAAAAATTAATAATATATAAAAATTAACTCCCCGTGGTTCATATACTCCAGACGTAAAAACCAACAACTGTAAAACTCCTAGCAAAAAATATAATAGACCACCTTTGAGATCGAGAGTTTGGCCAAGTTTTCTTAGACAAAACAGCAAAGGCAGTTCATAAGAGAAAAAGTGATAAATTGGGCTTCATCAGAAGGGTAACATTCTGTTGTTTGAAAACTTTAAGAGATGAAAAGAGAAATAGGCTGGGAGAAAATCTATACAAAGATTGTATCTGGTCAAGGATTTCTATCCAGAAGATTTAAGTCGCTCAGTACTTGTTTAAGAAAACAACCCAGTTTTTAAAATGGGCAGCAGGTCTGAATGGATGTTTCACCAAATACATATCCTGTATCAAATAAGCACATGAAAGACACTCAGTATCTTTATTTACTGGGGAAATCCACATTCAAACTACATGAGCTATGACCAAACACCTACAGGAATGGCTAAAATCAAAAGGACTGACCACAGCATGTGTTGGTGAGGATGTGGAGGAACTAGAACTCCCATATCCTGCTGGTGAGAATGAAGAATGATACAGCCACTTTGGACAATAGTTTGGTAGTTTCTTAAAAAGTGAAATAGATGCTTAAGCCATTTCACTCCTAGCTGTTTTCCTAGGAGAAATGAAAGCCTGTGTCTATAAAAGATGAATGCTTCACAACAGCTTTATTTGCAATAGCCCCCAAACCAGCAACAACCCAGATGTTCGTCAGCAGGAGAATAGATGATCAAATTGTGCCTTTTCCATACAATGGAACCCCTCACTCAGCGAGGGTGACGAACTAGTGATCCATGCAGCCACCCGAATGAATCCCAAAATGATTTCCTAAAAGAATAGATATACTTAAAATGCTAGAGAATATAAACATATGTAGTGGCAAAAAGGAGATCAGAGGTTGCCAGGGAATGGGGTGCAGGGATTAGGAAAGAGAAAGGAACTGCCAAGGGCACAAGGAACAGGGAAAGCATTAGGGGTGACGGATACATTCATGACCTTGATCATAGCGGTGGCTTCACAGCTGAGGACATGTATAAAAACTTAGGTTGTACACAGCAAATACATGTGGTTTACTGTATGTCAGCAAAGCTATGAGAAAAAAGACGCTGGCAGAGAGCCATACTAACTTTTTGTTAGTATGTAACTTTTTGTTAGTAGTAACTTTTTAGTTAGTTAATAGTAACTAGTAGTTAGTAGTAACATTTTGTTAGAGCTATACTCACTTTTTGAGCTTTTTACTCATTGAATATATGTCTTTTACACTTATGATTACTATTTAATTCACTGTAAATTTTTGTTTACAGTATCCTCTGTTTGCATGATTCTAAGTGTGTGAGTATGTAGGGGAAGACCAGACCTCCACAGCTCACTCATGGAGTCTCAGGCTAAGTGCTATTTAAGAGGTAGGGGTGAGTCAAGTGGTTAGGGTGCTGGAGAGGAGTTGGGAGACTCAGGGATGACATCCAGGTTGGGTTAAGTCAGAATTGTCCAGGCCCATTGTCATTGCTCAGAGCCTTTCTATCGAAACCTTCAGCACGAACCATAGTCCACCTTCCACTTGTATACACCTTGTTTGAGACTGCTCACAGCCGGCCCCTGGGATAACACGTTAGCCCCGTTGGCTTCAGACAGGAGCCCACTTGAAATCAGAAGGCCACTCTCGGGTTCAAGTTCATCCTCCACACAATCTCCTTCAGCACTTAGTCTGCCTTCCCTCACCCAGCATGGACGTCACATCTGGCAAGTGCCTGGGCGAGGACGTACGTCTCCTTATGAAGATCCATCATCGTCACACAGAGCTAGTTACCCAAGATACAATATGTCCTTTTCTTGCTGTCCTTTGAGGGGTGGGTCTGTCCCCTCTTGATGACATCTCTCCCTTCCTCTCTAGTACATGCCTCTCTCCCCTCACGTTAACCTGCGTGACGTACTTTTGTGCCAGAGGAGTCTTCTCGGGGACCAGGGTACGCCTCTCATGCAAGCCTCTTGGGGATCATGATCTTTTAACAATTTGAGTTGACTCTGCACTAAGTTGGTTGATTTCATAACAACCAGTGCACGACTCAGCTGCCGCGGTTTCAGGGGCCTTGTTTCTAGAACCATCTATCCCATTGTTCTCTATCTTGCATGTTTTGGTACCACTCCTTTTTGAAAACTAAAAGTCTAACAGTGCCTCTTCTCCAAAAGACCAACCAATTCGTTCATTTCCATTAAAAAAAAAAAAAAGCTACAGGCAAAAATTTTCTGTGGCAGCAGTAGTTTTAACCATATTGACAGCAACTAAAAGCAAGACAGGGAAGCTGTGGGGGAGGAGGGAAGTGTCTGCTGGGTTCCTGCTACGCTCCGGGCTCCATCCCGGGTACTTGACGAATGTCAACCTGGCGCAGCTCCCATGCACTTGGGAGGCAACTGTTGCCATCCTCATTCTGCCGATAAGGAAACCAAAGCTTGGAGAGGGCGGGCTCTGGCTGCCCCGTCCCCGCAGTCGGGAACCAGGCAGCAGGGCAGACGGTTGCATATAGGTCTGTCTGTCTGCCAGCCTGGGCACCGGGCTGCACCGCCTCCCCAGTAGGAGGTGACGATTCCTCTACCTGTTCAGAGCCAAGCATCTCTCAGATGACACGTGCAAGAGAAAAAACTGAGAGGCCACTTGATCTTCGCATGTCGGTCAAGGAGGCTGCAGGAAGTCAGGACTAACATGCTTGTTGCGGTGTCCCCCCCAGATTCCACTAACCCAGGCCTTGGAACGTGGAGCATTTCCTCCCTATTAATTAGTGGAAGAAATTGTCTCTGTATGAAAAGTCTCCAAAATAATCTCTCTCTCAATACAGAGGTTCCCGTGGATGAGCGCACCTATTCAAGTTGGATTAGTTGGCTTTTGGTGAGTGGAATTAATTTCTTTTTTAAAGGTAGACACACAACATGTGAAAGGTGAAGGAACAGGTTCATAAAGTGGGATGTAAGTTTTGAAAGTGAGGCCATCCCAGAACATCTGGAACTTACGGTCCCAAAAATTAGACGGAAGTAGAGAGAAACCTACAATGTTTGGGACTATTTGCATGATACTCTTTTAAACTTCTGCTAGTTCTCTTGATGTTTTTTTAAATTATCTTGATAGTCCTTGTAATAAAATTAGACAAACAAGACATATTTTTTGTAAGGAAATACGGTGCTCAGAAGAAAGGGGATTGTTATAAAAGTAAAAGAGAGGAAGAATCTGGAAGTCATCCACTTGAAAATGCTTTCATTTGTCTTTTTCTTGTTTCTTTTTTAAGTTTGGTATTTGCTACACCTCTGTGCTGTGCTCTGTTTCCTCAGAAAAGGTATGTTAAAAAAAAAAAAAAAAAGGCATGTATTTGCTATTCCTCGGAACTATCATGAGTTTTAATCTGGAAACCAGTTGAAGATGCGGTTGCTGTTACCCTATTTCACTTGAAGGGAAGTTGAGATTCAAAAAGATGAATGAAGCCAGGTCTCTGAGGGGAAGAGATAGAGGCAGAAGTCCAAGACACACCTGTTGAATCTCCAAACTCTCTTTATCCAGCTCCACCATTACATTTGGGAATGCTTTATTCTTTCACAAGAGTCGGGTTAACTCTGGTACAAATTGGCATTTATAAAAAATTTTAAATATGACTTCTCATCATCCAGTCCATTGGCCAGGGCAGCAGCAACACAAGCACGTTCAAACTTAAAGACCGCCCCAGGGACAGCGGTTATATGCACGAAGCCTCCGTGGTTGGTTTATTTGCTGCCCTTCTTCCTGCTTAGTTTCTTGCCTTAAAATCCTTACTGTGTACTTTCATCACAAGCTACTCTTAAATCCCGCTTTTGATGGAAGAACTGGGTGGATGGGCATTAAATCAGCACGGGATACATCAAGGTCTTCCGCCTCTTGCCGATCTGACATGAAGGCACAGAGAGCAGCAGTTTGTTGTTTTGCTTTTGTCTGAGGGTTCCCAGGCTCCTGCCTTGGTAATACCCCCAGTGGGCCCTGGACCTGGTATAGCCTTTCATGCCCAAGGCTTTCCAAGGCCGACGAGGTGTGCTGGAACTAACTTTCTCAGATCCGCTCCATCTGATAAAGAACTCCGCCTTTTATCTGCTCTCTCACTTCTGTCTTCAACTCCTACTGGTCTTAAATAGGGCGTTAAATGTCAAGGAGAGGGAGCCTCGAAATCACCTTGATGCCTAGAGCCATACCCCGCGGGAGGGGGCCACACCTTCAGAATTTATCCTCTGAGCCCATTACAGATGCATTTCCGCAAATCCAAAGAGGGGTAATTACACCTCTTGACTTTCCAAACCCCAAAAGCTCAGGACTTAACATAAGAAAAGTTTATTTCTCTAATATATACCAGCGTCGGACAGTTGACCTTGTACTCAGTGACGTAGAGATAGTACATGTGAAATGCTGAGAACACCCAACACAAGGTAAGCCCTTGATATATAAAGCTGTTACAGTTAGAGATTGAAGGATTTGAAAATCCATTAAGGAGTTTCCTACATAGGCCTTGGTCTAAATGAAGTTTATTCCCGGTTTTTGCTTATGCGTTTGTTTCTTTTTCTTTTGGTTTCTTACTCCCCAGTTGGATAGCACAGGGTTACTCCTATGCCTTCGTTCGTTACGCACTATCCTCGTTGGTCCAAACGTGACCCTGTTTTGCTTGATGATATCATGAATATCCACGAGTCCGTTGCCCACTCATGAATACAAATATGACCAAGAAATTACGTGTTTTTGTAGGTTCTTCCCAGCCCATACTCTTCCCTCCTGCAGAGTGAACCATTATGCTGCATTTCGTATTTATCAGACTGTTGCATTTAAAAAATTTTATTATATATATTTTCCTAATGTTTTGTTTTGCCTCTTTGGGAACTTTTTAGGGAAGGGTGTCATGCTACATAGAGTCCTCTGCTGCTCGTTCTTTTTTATTTAATACCATGTAGCTAAGATCCATCCACATTCCTGCGTGTAGCGAAGTTCATTCACAGTTTACGGCAGTGAAATAGTCCATTGTATAAATATGCTGCAGAGGCACCTGGGTGGCTCAGTGGGTTAGAGCCTCTGCCTTCGGCTCGGGTCATGACCTCAGGGTCCTGGGATCAAGCCCCGCATCGGGCTCTCTGCTCAGCAGGGAGCCTGCTTCCTCCTCTCTCTCTCTGCCTGCCTCTCTGCCTACTTGTGATCTCTGTCTGTCAAATAAATAAATAAAATCTTTAAATATGCTGCAGTCCTCCATTCTCCTGCACACGTGAGAAATAATCCTTACCAGCACTTGTGGGAAGCAGCGAGAAAGTGTTGCTTTGAGAGGAAATCATAGTTTTAAATGTATTTATTAGAAAGGAAGAATGGCTGAAAATCCAGCACTAAATGTCCAACTTAAGGTCAAAAAGGAACAGAAAGAATATACCGCAGGGAAAGAAAAAGGAAGGAGATAAGAAATAGGAGGATCCAGGACGTCAAAAGTTTGTTCCTTGAAAATAGTAACAAAATGGTAACAAATAGTAGCAAAATCATCTTGTGATGTCAGTCATGACGAAATGAACAGATGATACGAATGAAGAAAACTACAGATATTAAAGCGCGAGTCTCCCCACCACCCAGGAGGGTTTGAATAACTTTAATTCCAAAATCAGGGTTTGCCTTTATAATATAGTAATAGTAATTACGAGTACTTCTAGATCGATGGAAAAACAACCAAGAGGCCGTATAGCGTGCTGGTTGGGAGCACGGCTTTGGTTCAAGAAAGACCTGGCTTTGAATCTCAGGTGTCATTCCAGTTTCCTTATCTGTAAAACTAGGATAATATCGGACTTTCAGGGTTTTTATAAGGATTAAAATGCATAATATCTGGTCCAATGGACAGATCATCAGCAGCGTCATTTTAAGACTGTCCCACGTCCACTGTGTAGAACATAACCATGATGGTACTTTTCCCCTCTGTGTTCACAGTATTTCTCTTATTTTTTTACATTTGTTTATACATCTATATTCTGTCTTTTTAACTTCATATTTTTCCATATCTCAACTATATTATAGACCAAATCTTTTTAAAAACAAATTACGTATCAAAAAAAAAAAGATTAATTACATATCAAAATATTACCAGGTTTTCTGGTAATAAGCACTCTGGACAATTTTTCTTCATACTTTTATATAATAAGTATGCATTTATAACCCCAAAAAAACAAGCTTTAAGACATATACACATATAATGCATTCAGTACTTTTAAATGCGTAGCAAAGACTAACAGAGGTCATCGCTCAGTGGTGTGTGACAATGAGTGATTTTTTTCTTGTACAGCTTAGTATTTTCTAAAAGGTTTGCAATAAGCATGTATTATTATACAACGAAGAAAAGAATATTCGTGCAAGTGAATTTTTAGTGTTAAAAATTCCACTAAGTACATTTGACTTTTCTACTAATGGTGAACATTATTTTGTTTCCTTGGGGAAGCGGCATCACCACGCACTGCCTCCCAGTGCCAGCGGGAACTGAGAGTGTCCTTCCGTGCTTGCCTTCCTCCCAGCCATGAACAGTTTTTAAGCTTTTAATAATTGCTGGGCTCTTAAGCTGCATTTCTTTGATTATTAGCAACAATTAATTTTCCAGAAGGAACCAGGCATTCATGGTCAAGGCACAGGAAGCATTTTTCAAACAGGACTGTTTTACAATGCCAGTCGTGATTCGGGGAGCAGCATGGTGGGGGAGGTCCCTTCTCCACCGTGTCGAGAGTCTCATTCCCTGCTCTGCCCCTGTAATAATCCTGTCATTTCTCCCTTACCCAGTTCCATGTCTGTGACAAGCTTGGAGCCTGATTTGCAAGCCAAGATCCAAGAGACCTATCCTGAATTACGACGTGTATACTTTAATAAGGGGTTGTAAAGTAGCGGAAGAAACTCTACAGCTTATACCGCCTACTGCAAACCTGGTGAGGAAAAGCCTGTTCGACCTGGGTTCTCCCAGTTACAGAAACCTTTTAAAGACCCACATTAGCCTTTTAGAGTCAAGCTGCTACTTTCAGCACAGCACCTGGTACGGGCCAGGCGCCCAACAACCTGTTGGCTCCCTTACATTTGAATCACGATGTAATTTACAGAAATACCCTTCCTCTAGCTTTTATAGTAATTGTTTTCCAAAGACGATATACCAGCCTTCACCCAGAGTTTTAAAAAGCACTGCTAGGCATAGAGTAGATGTTCAGCATTACGCTCAATAAATATGTATTGACTGTCAGTGAGTGGAAAGGAAATCTGTTTGAAATACTGAATTTTTTACCCCATTCTTGTTTCAAATCACTCAGCAGTGATTGGAGAAAACACAAAAGCTCTGAGCCTAAGCTATAAAAAGTGACTCATAAATATTAAGGACGTTTGCTTCCACTTTGGGCAGTGCGTAACCCAAAGTAGATGTGGAGCCTTTTGGATTTATAGGGTAAAAGCTCTTCCATCTACTTCCCGAAAGTCACAGTAACAGACAAATGTGATGAGCCATCCCAGCTGTCAGCGGCTATGTGCGTTCATATCGCTGGTAGATTTCTTTGGTTGACTCTGAAATTTATTCTGTTTTACATACCTGTGAAGTTAATCTTACTTTGCACTTGTTGACTTTATATTCAATTATTTACGTCAAATCAAATAACTGAAATGCACAAATGTCTAATTTTGGAAGTATGTTCAATACTGTATGACTGGGTTGGATCTGCTTTTATTTGATCTTTTTAGCAGTGAGAGCACAGGTCCATCTAGCTACATATCTTTTCTTCTCTTGGACCCCTTCGGCTCTCAGAAAGATACGGAAATAATGTGTGTGTGAATCAGTGACAAATGAATTGTACTTGAATATTGTGTGTTACATTCCACCCTGTTTGACAACAAGGAGTCCATGGACCACTGTTTACATCATCTGTAGTAGCTTCACATATGTTTAATGTAACATTATGTTTCAAGTCTGAAGATGTTCAAGGCCTGTGCTGGGTGGTGGCTGTGTGGAGTGAGGCCACTCAGTTCGATTGTAATTCAGAGACTTGTAAGTGGGAGGGAAAAATGTAGAAACTAGTTTTGACAGATTTTTCCAGACAATGTGACCAGACTGAATTTCCTCATAAAGAAAAAATGGTGTGCCTTGTGTCTGTGTTTCTCTTTTCTCTGAAATGATTAAAGGATCTGAAGCTTGGGGCCACTCTGAACCTTCCTTTGTGCCACCAGAATTTTCTCATTTAGATTTTCTGTCTGAAACCATTTGAGGCAAACTAGCTTTCCCATGCCATGCTGGCCTTGGATGTGTTTTGCTGCCATAGATGCTTCTCTTTAAAAAGTAGGAAGAGCCTGAAATTCAAGGCAGATCTTCATGAGGTGCTGAAAAGGTGCTTTTTAAGGAGAAACCGAAACCCTCCCTCCCCCAAACAACCTGCCCTGGTTAATCTCAGAATTCTTACTCCCCAACCCCCTTAACTGTTGGCTCCATCTCAGTATCTTAACCTTCCCTGAGAAATTCATCAGCAGCCAGCTCGAAGGTTGATGAACTGTAACTGAAACTGTATACACACCAGGAAGGGATCATGAACACAGAGACGTGTCTTTTTAAACATTATTAACCGAAGCTTCCAACTCTTGATGCTTTTATATAGAAATATGAACTGTATTGTTTAATCGTGGTTTATAAAAAGGAACAAATGAACCAAGATTGGCAATTTTGCTGATCTCTTAGACATACCTTTTCTGGAGAAAAATCCTACATGAAGTGCAATGAGCTTATAAAGGTAAATAGATACCCGTATTTCTATCAACGTCATGAGGAATTACGATCGTGCGTATTTACTGACTGCTAGTTTTTATTTCAGTATTAACACAGCGTCTCGCCAGTGTTGGAATCAATGTATTATTTCAGTTCAACTGGATGAAATGTTAAATAAACTCAGAACGAAAATAAATTCTCTCTTTTATTTGTATGTAAAGGGTAATACAGTTTTATGGTGCAGCTGATGGTCCCTTTCGTTCAGACTTAACATCTGGGTACCGGCAGTAACTCCTGACGAATGAGATTTTGTATTATGCGTTCAGCAGGAAATACTTTCCTGTCTTTGGCTCCCAGCCTTCCACCTTCGGGAACACCAGAACACCGAGCACAAGCTCCCTCCCAGCCCACACAGAGTAATTCGAGGAATGTTTGTTATTATGAGCACAGGGGGGACGTGTGATTCTGCTGTAGGTCTGGATAACGAACACCACTGCACCCAGTGGGGAGGTAAATTCGCTCTCGGGTTGTTTGTCAGATTCTAATGTGGAAACAGCCTAGGATATAGTTCACAAAGAAAAATCTCAATGAGTCCAACTGGGGAATGCATGCTTTATGACCAGGTTAATAAAGGATTGAGCGTTTTAACCTTGTTCCAGTCTCTGCATCTGTTTTGCTACCGTAACTCTGCTCATCACTTAGTGAGTTAGCTATATACAAGAGCTTGGGTCTAGAGGTCAGAGCTGGTGTAATCTTGGTTGTACCCACTCTTAAAATACATGTGGTTGGGTGACTGACATTCTCCGTGACCTTCAGTTTTGTTCATTTGCTCTGGTTTTGGAGAAAATCACTGAATGCACCTGAGAGAGTCGTGAATGAACAAGAGCGCCCCTTTACAGCAGTTAGCATGTTGCCTGGCACATAGTGAACTCAACGAATGCTTGCCTGGAGCGAATTTATTTGTTCTAGAGACACTGCTTGTCCATTCAGCATACCAGCTTATCGGTGTTCTTGGTAAGATTTCAGAACCCCAGCAACTTCCCCAGAGTTAACCCACAACCTCACTAGAAGTATACCAGGTTAAAATGGTGAAATGGAGACACTTGAATCCATCCCGTTAAAAGGTCCAACAACTAAGGTTTTGCCCAGACGCAACAAAGGTAGGAAAAGTCTCTGCTCGCAAATGAGCAAACTGGGGCTTCCAGTGGTGAAGTGCAAGCTCAAGACCACTCCCGGGTGCTTGAAAACTACAGCTGGAGCCGACATCTGACCCCCAGACCTTCGGCCCTCTCCAAAAATGTAAGCGACTAGAATACTCGAATAAAATTAATTTTTCCTTCATGTATGCAGAATTTCACGGAAAGCTGGAGAATAAGCTTATGTTTGGTAGTGATGACTATACGGTGTCCCTTCAAACATAGATACTCCAAGTGTGGTCCATAGACTGGAACAGCCAAGTCTGTTAGAATGTGAGTTCTGGGGCCCCACCCCCAGACCTCTACTGAATCAGAACCCACAGGAGCCCCAGGAGCCCTGTTGCCGTCACAGTGTGAGAAGTTCTGGCTGTAGCCACATCTCAGGTGTTCCCAGAGATCTGAGCGTCATTGGGCTCATCTCAAGATCCACTTAACAATTTTCTAGGAATTTGCATATTTTGCCCCTCACAGGATTCTAAGAAAGTATCAAGGCTCAATGTTGACACACTTAGGGACACAGTATCAATAAGCTTACGAGGGCAGGGACGTCTGTTTTGTCCACTGACCTATCTCCAGCACCTAGAGCAGTTGGTGCCAGCCGTGGGTCCGCGTGAGACGGGGTTCACACTAGACCCTTTCCGGGAGTCTGAAAAAGCGTCCTCTTGTTTCCTTGCAGAAAAGAATCCATTTTGTGTCACGAAGAGGAGGTCATCACCAGGATGTGGAAAGAACAGGGAAGGTGAGCTTTTCTGGGAACAGAGCCCGAAACAAACACTGTCCCTGGGAAGTGAGAAGGGAAATGGCAGCAAGCAAGCTGCAACCATCGTTACGGGGGTGCCCCTCCCTCCCCGGGGGCGCCCCTGCCCCTAAAGCCTCTGGAGCAGAAAGGGCACTTGGGATGACACACGTTTAATCCTCAAGAAACCTGCTGTATCCCCATCTGTGAGAGAAGGAATTTGAGGCTCAGGGAGGTGCACTGACTTGTCTCGTGCTGCACAGCGGCCTCACCACCATCTCCGTCCTGGTCTGTCAGACTCAACTGTTTCCCACTGCGTTGCATGGATCCCAAGTGGCCTTCTTCTCCTCGTCCTCCTTTCTTCCTCCTTCCTTCCTCCTCCTTCTTCCTCCTTCTTCTTCTTCCATATGTCACTCCTTATAATTCCCCCAAGGGTTTTCTCTCCATTCAAAAGTCAGGAAACAGACTTGAAGACGTGGAATCACTTGCCACAAACCTAACTTGGTTCATTCAAAGGACTACGGGAGACGACGCACATTCCCACATACACACCCACACATACACAAGGTGTGTGGAACCTATAGGTCAGCAAGATCATTTCCAGGTAGAGCCCCAAATTAAAGTAAGAGTGGGGAGACGTGGTTCTCAAAATGTGGTCCCTGGACCAGCAGCAGCATGAAAATTAGAAATGCATGTTCTCAGGCCCTTCCCATAAGTACTGAATCCGAAGCTCTGAAGTTGGTGGCGGGGGAAGGGGACCGGCCAACATTTAGCAAGCCCTCTCTGAGTGATTCTGATCCATCCAAGGTTGGGCCACTAGGTGGATGCTTGGATGCTTGGATGCTCGCTGCAGCTGAATTTCGCTCAGCTCCATGCACTGAGGCAGCAATCTCAATTTCCCCATCTGCAGAATGGAAATAACCCTCCTTCCCTCACTGGGTACTTGCGAGGATTTGGGGAATATTAATAAGTAGGCAGCAGCCAGGCTGGTGCCTGGCACGGTGCGCACTCACCCAGCACATTGTAACTAAAATTCAAATGTGTGATCCCTGGGGCTGAAAGTTTGGCAACACTCTGGTGGTGATCTTGCTGGGAAACAGGCACTCTCATGACTGCGGGGTGGGTGTGTGAGTTGCTAGGATTTCTCTGCAAGACAGTTTGGCAGTATCTATCAAAACTTACAAAGGCACATGCCCTCTTTTAAGCAATTCCACTGCTAAGAATTAATCCCACAGATAAACACAGTCGGGTTCATGGAAGGCCTGGCTACTCGCATGGGAGCCATATGGATGCAATGTGTCAGGCAGAAGTTGGAGGAAGAGGGAGGTTGGAGGGTGTTTCCAGAGAAATTGCTAGGCAAAAAAAAAAAAAAAAAAAAAAGATGCTCGACTGTGAGGTAATCGAAAATACAAGAACACATTTTCCCTTGGGAACTTTTAAAAATGTTTCTGATTTGGATTCTTCCAGGATGGATAGATAAATGGATTAGTAAGAGCTGATTGTCACAAATAGAAACAAACTAAGTCGAGAAGAAAGACTTACTATTTTCTGAGTGATGGGATTATAAGTGATTTTTGAATTCTTTTAGGTTTTACTGATTTTTCAGACTTTCTTCTGCTTCAGAATTCAGGACATAATAAAAGTATTTTTAAAGCTTCTGTGTATGACAATCCCAATTGTCTAATAAATGCACAGATATGTATAAAAGACAGAAGGGTATAGACCAAAATGGTTAACCGTTGTCTCTGGGTTTACAGGTAATCTGTATTTTCTTTACGGTTTCCTGTGTTTCAGATTTTCTGGAATGCATCTGTATTCATCTTATCATCAGATAAACGTCAAGTTCAGGCTGAAGAGTAATGCCATGGCTTGACACCTCCTGGGATCCTCTCCAGCTCCAAGCAGGCTCCCTGGTTTCCCAGCTCGCGTTGGGCAGGGAGCTGCAGCTCTGGAGGGATGCCGCTAGGGTGCAGCATTGCCCTCAAGGTAGCGCGGCTGAGCCCCGTGCCACCCCCCACCCCCCGGCTGACCACAGGTGTCCCGAGGCAACCGACCACAACCGGAGTGGATCTCTGAATTTCCGAGGCCACCCTCAGGCAGAGGGTGGAGGAAGCTAGGGAAAGACGAAGCGAAGGCCGAGTTTGGCATGCGACCTGCAGTAAAGGATTTAGCCAGGGAAGCCCCTGATCCAGGCGGGCGGGGGTGGAGCGGGACACGGAACAAGGGAGGCCGAAGCAGTGCGCACCCTCAGGCTCCTGAGTGCTGTGATCCAGGACAGCGACACCAGGGAGATGAACCCCGAACCCGGCTCGGAGAGGGGAGCTGGGAATCAGGGAGGGCTTTAGGAGTGGCATATCAGCAAGATGCGTACGAATGACTGAAAGGGAGGAGAGAGGGGGCCCGAAGATCGCCAGGGCTTCTGCTTAGAAAAACAGTCCATGGAGAGATCTGGAGACCAGAGAAAGTGTGGCTAAGTATTGAGTGTGCAAGGGAAGGACCTTTCAGGAAGATGTCGCCAGCTCCCGGAGAGGGTGGGGGGTGCAGGTAGCGAGAGCCTTTCGGTGCTCAGAGAAGAAGCAAGAGTTTTGTGCAAGGAAGAAGGGCAGTCAAATCCTAGCTCTGCCACTTACTATTTTCAGGATCTGTGAAAAGCCAGTTCCTCTCTCTGAGCCTCAGTTTTCTCCTCTGTAAAATGGAGACAGTAATGCTCATCTTGGGGTCTTGTGAAGCTTAAAAGGGGTAAGCGGAGGAGCCTAAGTCACGACTTTACTTCCATTGTCTTTTTATTTGACTGCTATTTCTGCAGTAGCGTCCAAATGGAAAAGCCAGGCCAGCAGGCCGTTTGTAGATTGCTCACGGTGTCAGCTTTGCAAACATTAGTAGTCCGGAGCAGTCATCCCTGCTAGCTTCCAGGGGCAGGAAATCATTTCATCATGTGTGATTGCAATCAAGAACCCGTTCTGCCCTCTTATTCCCGTTTATAATGAGAATGTATTTTAATCATCTGAAATCTCCAGGAAAGAGGGTAACACAGGGAAGAGTTTTGTTTTTTTTTTTAACATAATAAAAAGCTAAAAATAGAGATAAAACCATCCACTCTATTGAAATGCTAAAGGCCGCCACCTCCTGGCACAGACTGAATAATAACGCCGGTTCAAAATGCAGGGGCAGGATGGGGGTGCCACCCCCCCACCCCCTCCCTGCAGAGCTAGAGGCTGTCAGGTGAACTTTCCAGGGCAGATGCGGGCTTGGACAGGTGCAAGAAACACAGGAGCCCAGCGGACCACGTCCTCTTCTAGCCAGGGCTCCTCACCAGAAGAATGAATCCCATCAGAAAGTCCAGTGATGATGCCCCGAAAAGGAGAAAGAGAAGCTGGAACCGGGTCCCACATCCCCCCGGGGAATTTTCGGCTTTACGAGAGCAAAATCTGGACAGTGGAGGAAAAAAAACAAAAGTGTCACAAGCTGCTAGGTAGAGCCTGACAACAAAAAGTGGTGGGAGGAAGAGGAGGCAGAGGACAGAAAAATATGGATGGCCCCTCTAAGTCCGAGAGTGGAGAGTAGGGGAGAGAGGGTTTGGGGCACAGGGCACAGAGAGGGGTCGCTAGGCGGAAATGCATCCTTACAAGTCCACTGGGTATTAAGAGGGCATCCCACTTGAGCTGGGTTTCTCATGCTGGGTTTCACTCCAGAATCAGCTGAGGAGCATTTCCCAATTCTTATCGCTCGGGCATCATCCAAATCAATTACATCAGTACCTTGGGGTGGCCTGGGGACTGGCATTTTAAGCTCCCCCTGTCATTGCGAGGTGCAGCCAGGATTGAAAACTACTGTTCTGAAGATCGATGAGTACTTTCATATAACTCAGTGACTCTGGGGGTGCGGGGTGGGGTTCTCAGTGCACTACAGGGTATGTATGCCCCACACTGAGCTCACACTACGGACATGTGCTGTCATCGGCATCCAATTAACTGCAAGCCAGCTCCCATTTTCAGAGATGGCTCCCATTCATTGAGCAGGTATTTTGCCTTTCACTTCAATCTCACAACACCCGGTGAAGTAACCACTTCCCGGATGAAACTATGACATTTCAGGCACCAGCCGGAAGGAGCAGCCGACCAAGACGCAAGGCAGGGGCAGACTGAGCTCTGGCATCTGGCTCTAGCCCCTCCTGGCTGGTACACCAGCTGCCCTTCATGTCCTGCCCAGGCCCACCCTCCCCTCAGCCTCTGCCCCCCCCACCCCACCCCCAACACCACGACCAAGACTCCCTGAGGGCGGCCTGGGCGCAGGAACCTGGGACAGCGCTGAACCTGGACAGCGCTGAACCTGAATGCCAACAGTAGATGGCCCCAAGACCGCAGCTTACCGGTTCTAGAGAGCAAGGCTCCGCATAGACTCCAGCAGAAATGGAAGCTTAACTGAAACTAAAGGGAGATAAATATCCATGGTTGATTTTTTTGAGGGGAAAGAATGAGATTACAGACAAAGCCAAGCCATATCCATTTACAGGGGAACATGGGGGTTCGCATAAACACTTAGAAGGTCTGGATAAACGCAGACCAAATCATTCCGCAGTTGTCCCCAGCGGGGCACTGGTGTTGGGCACCTCCCAGTTCTGGGCATGGACCTGTTTTCTCTGTTCATTCACCTCCCAGCAGCTGCCCTGCCTCCAACTTGCTCTCCCCTCCTCACCCTGCTTTCTTTCAAGCCTCAGCCTCTCTGGCTTAACAAGCTCTTCTACTAAAAAAAATTCTACATGCTTAGAAGAAGAAACCAAGAGAACAGAGAAGCCAGTAAAGTGATAGCTCTCTTCTTCTTGTTTCCTAATCCCAGCCCCAACACCAGCACCTCCCGGGGACAACTGCGGAATAATTTGGTCTGCATTTATCCAGACCTTCTAAGTGTTTATGTGAACCCCCATGTTCCCCTGTAAATGGACATGGCTTGGCTTTGTCTGTAACCTCATTCTTTCCCCTCAAAAAATCGACTATGGATATTTATCTCCCTTTAGTTTCAGTTAGTATTTATTTAAGTAATCTCTACACCCAATGTGGGTTTCGAACTCACAACCCCGAGATCAAGAGTCACAGGCTTTCCCGACTGAGCCAGGCAGGTACCCCTACTGTGGATATTTTCCAAGGCAACATAGATCTTCCTCATTCTTGTTGAGAGCTGTACAGAATTTCAAAACATTAATTCCCATCATTCCCCTATCAGTGGACATTTCCATTATTTCCACGGTTTTGCTATTACCAAAAAAAAAAATAAATAAATAAAAGCTGCTGGGAATAAAAGAAGTTCCTAGAAATGAGATTAGCTAGATCGTCAGATGTGACCTTTTCAAATTTTTCTAACGATGGTGATGATGGTGATAATAAAAGCTGACTATATTTAACAGACATACCTTCTCCCAGAGCCCCCTGATGAAGTTCTGATTCCACAATCTGACAGTTGAGACCCCCATCAGCCTGTTCACATCGATATTCCTTCTCTGGCCCTCCTGTTCCTATCCCATCAGCTTTCACAAACCGTGTCCACGTACTGCCACATCTCTGGGCATGTGTATGAGCCATTCCCTCTTTCTGGAAGGCAGGGTCTTTAAACAATGAGGATTCGTGACTTTGCCTGATTCTGTGGCTGGGCAGGTGATTTTTCTGCAGGCTCACCTGGCCTCACTCCCGTAGCCGCGTTGGTTGCCGGAAGGTCCGAGATGGCCTCTGTCGCTGCCTGGTAGTTCATGCTGGCCGTTGACTGGGACACCTTTTGGCCTCTCGTCTTCCAGCAGGCTAGACTGGCTTCCTTGCACGGCCTCCGAATGGTGTTCCCAGAGAGAAAAGCCCCAGGGCATAAGCACTCATGAAGCCTCAGTTTACACCGTGTCTGCTTGGTGTGCCACCGGCCAAAGCAAGTCACCTGGCCAAGACCAGCATCAGCTGCGAGAAGGCTTAGCACCTGTCCCTCGACGGGAGCGGGGCAGAACTAGACCCTCGCTTGGCAGCTGGACCCGTGAGGTGAGAGAACTCACATAGCTGGGGGATGTCCAACAGCGCGGATCTGGATGATACCCGCGCCTGCTCCAGAAGCTGGAGACAGACCAGGAGAATGACCAACCACCTCCCTCAGGAAGCTGCAGACCAGAGCGCCGTGAAGGCCCGGGTGTTCTTGGGAGGAGATCACCAGTGGCAGCCACAGACATGCGT